CACAGTCCCGCAAAGTCCTACAAGACTTCTAATCCTGAGGTTGCGGGTTCGAGTCCCGCCGGTGGTTAATCTGGCCCCGTCGGCAACCCCGGATTATCCCCTCGAATCAGCCCACGAACCCCACGCCTGCAACTGAAAGACCCACGTAGCTGGGCGAAGTACGTTCCGGGACTGATGTTCGCGGATAATGCCAGCGCGCACGAGGCCACAGACAGTAGCCCTTTCGAGATGAACACCGGTCGAACACCGAGGTTGCCGCATGAGTCGACAACAATGACAAAGGCGGTGGGACCGGACGCTAATCGCAGCGTGATTTCTAATCACATGGAGCGGGCAAAGGACATCCTGGATCGGTACTGGACTCGCGTCAAGGGTCAGTACGATAAGAGCTGGCGAGACGTCAGTCTGCGACCCGGAAGTCACGTCCTAGTACAACTAACGGACTTGGAACGCGCCAAGTTCCTGATTCGGAAGCTGGCCCCGCGATGGTCCGCACCGGCCTTAGTGAAGGACGTGTTAACAAACCAGGTGACGTACACTGTGGAAATGGCGGACGGCAGTGCGCGAACGGTCCACATTTCCAGGCTGTTGCCTCTACAGCAAGACCTTTGGGGAGAGGCGTTTCCAGAAGGCAAGGCAGCGGTGGAGTTGGCGAGACATTCGACAAGGAGGGTTGAAGAGGATGAGCCAATGATGATGAAGGTAGCGCTGATACTGCCACAGGAACCAACGGCACAGGCAAAACCCCAGTTGGCTACACCGGGCACAGCTGCGGAGACCGGAATGACACCACGGAGGGGTTTAGCCCAAGGGTGCAGGCCGGGGTCAACAGGAGCGCAGATGAGTACACCATCACCGGCCGCCTAGACTGGCACTGCGATATCGCCAGACGCCCGCATGCAAGCGACATCGCCGGTCGGGGCAACCGCAACGACCCTACGATGGATCCGGAGAGGAGGTACATCGTCGACGGGATCGTGGGGCATGCATACGCCGGCCGATTGAAGCACTTTAAGGTCCGGTGGAGGAATTACCCGGGGCAGGACACGTGGGTCCCCCGGAAGCAACTAAGGGAAGATGTCCCTGGGCCCGTAAGAGCGTACGAGAGAGAGCAACGCCTGCGTGGAGGTACGAGGCTAGACTATGGTCAATGAATGATCGGGTCGATCATCCTGAACGAAAAAGAAAGTTGGTAACGGAGGCTCGGCTGGACGCCGTGCCCGCGCTTCTGGTCGGGGACCGGAGAGTCGCCCTACAGGCTCGATGATTGACCGCCATCGAGTAGCACGGGTGATCGAGTGGTAAGACACCGCAGAGCTGAGCTATGAATCCCAGGTTCGAATACTATCTATGTTTAGGTTTAGGTAGGTTTAGTTAGGTTAGGTTTAGTTAGGGTTAGCTGGAGTTAGCTAGGTTTAGTGAGGGTTAGTTAAGGAGG